GACTCCTACTCTAAGGCATCTTAAATCCCCCATCTGTATAAATCCATGTAAATCCTCACATAGCAGACTGTAAGGTCTGTAATAATATATACACTGTTTATATCTAAAATTGTAAGTTGACTTCTCCTACATTTGATGACAGTCTAAGAACTTACAGCAGAAACAAAATAATATATATACAACTGAGTATTTATTGGGCACCTACTACGTATCTGCCCACTCTGTGCCAGGCACTGCAAGGAACACACAGGAAGAGCTGCCATGCTTATCATGTATGTGTCCAGAACCACACCTATCACTTTTTCCTGTTATCTCAGCTAATCCTAACAATCCTATGAACTTTTAATATTCCCATTTTACACATGAGGAAATTGAGGCTCAGAAAGATTAAACAATTGCCTAATGTCACAGACCTTCTGAGTGGCACTGCTAGCTTTTAAGCTAGGCTACTTGGATTCTAATATCTATATGCTCTTTATCCTAAACTGCCTTGTCTCCTAGAATTGATCCTTGACCTCAAGAGCTTGCAATTAATTAAGAGGCAAAGATTGACACAAAAAATTATTAGAGAATAATAAAGAGCAATATGTAAAGTGTTAACAGTCCCTGTGTATCAGGTACTCCTTAATTTGTGGCTGAACAAAAGAGTCAAAACTGATTCAATCTCAAAACCATAAGAATTCAGAGGTGAGGTATAGTAGGGACACCTTGCCCCCAAAGATGTCCACATCCTAATCCCTGGGACCTGTGAACATATTCCGCTACCTGGCAAAAGGCAATTGAAATTTTGGATGGAATTAAAGTTGCTAATAAGCTGAATTTGAGATGGAGATTATCCTGGCTCTCTGGGTGGGCTCAATGTAATCACAAGTGTCCTTAATTGTGGAAGAGGGGGACAAAAGGATCAGTGTTTGCTATGGGACTGTGTCCCCCCAGATTCATATATTAAAGCTGAATCCCGCAATGTGATGGTATTTGGAAATGGGGCCATTGGGAAATAATTAGGTTCAGATGAGGTCATGAGGGTGAGGCCCTGGCGACTGGATTAGTGCCTTTGTAAGACGAGGCGGCAGAGAACTTGCTTGCTTCTCTCTCTGCCCTGTGAGGACGTGATGAGAAGACAGCCATCTACAGGCCAGGAAGAGAACCCTCACAGAACCCAACCATGCTGGCACCCTGATCTTGGACTTCCAGCCTCTGGAACTCTGACAAAATAACTTCCTGTTGTTTAAGCCACCAGTCTGTGATATTTTGTTATGGCACCTGAGCGAACTAAGTGTCAGAGCAATGTAGTATGAGAAAGACTCACTGTCCACAGCTGGCTTTGCAGACGGAGGGGCCACAAGCCAAGGAATGCAGGTGGCCTTCAGAAGCTAGAAAATAAAGAAATGGATTTTCCCTGAGACCCTCCGGGAAGGAATCCTGCCAACACCCTGATTTTAGCCCAGTGAGATCCATGTCAGACTTCTGACCTACAGATCTAAAAGATAAGTTTACATCATTTTAAGCCACTCAGTTTGTGGTAATTTGTTACAGCACCAAGAGGACACTAATACGTGAAAAGGGCAAAGAAGATTAATGCTGGATCAAGTCTCACCTGGACAGAGACAGGTGGGGAAGGAAGGATGGGTCCACCCAGGTGACAACTCTACAGTGCAGGGTGGGGCCATAGGGCCACCACACAGTCACAAAGCAGTGGGAGGCCTAGCCTGGAGCAAGGGACACTGGAGCAGATCAGGAGAGGAGGGCAGGAAAGTCCAGTCCCAGTGAAATTAAGGAATGTGAGACAGGAACAGGAATGAGGCAGTATGAGGCATAAATGCTAACTTATTCTCACTGTTCTTTTAATCGTACATAAAATGAGTGTTCTTCCTATACAAGGAGTTGCCTTGGGATTTTACTTTCATGATCAAAACACTGTGGGGAACTTCTCCTTTGAAACTAACTGCATTAAGAGCCAATGACTATTCTATAGTCATGACACACCTCGCCAACTATGGTAGCCACAGCTTAGTCTCTTAAAATCTGCCTGACTTATTTTTTACATCTAGTTCTAAAAAAAAATTTAATCTATCCTTAGACTCTTCTACTAAATATATTCAAAAGAATGTGCTACTAAAAGCAGTTCTAGAGAAGAGTTCCAAAAACACTGTGAACGATGTCAGCAGCACAGCAGAAAGTACAGAGTTTCCTCAGGTGACTTTTTTGAAGACAACACTTGTTCCGAAATAAAGATTTCAGATCAGTACTCTGGCTTTAAAAAAAAATTCAGACCCATGACCTTACAATAACTCAAACTTGGCACAACACAATAGGCGACTAAAAGATGACAAAGGTAAGAGACCCCCTCCAAGGTCCCGGGCAGCCTGCTGTATGTGTGGTGCCTCGGAAAGGACACGGGCCCTCTCATTCACTAGCTCTGTGACTTCGAGCAAACTTCTCAACTCCCTTGGGCCTCAGCTGTCCTCTGATAAAGTGGCAAATGCCATTTCAAGCAGACAGAAGAGCATGTGTGGAGGGAAGAAGGCACAAATCACGGCCCGCTGGGGAAACTGCAGGCTTTTTCAAACAAGAGCACAGAGGAGTCGGGAGGGGTCTCTGGATAGGTGGGCTGGGTCCAGGTGACGCACAGGAGCTTGGATCCTGGCTGGTGTTCAGCAGTATTTACTCACCTTAGGCCTACGGGGGCAGCGATCAAGGGAGGCCGTGGCAGTTTCATAGACGGTGAACTTGGAAAAGGTTAAGACCCATATCCTCTCACAGTCCACATTAGCATATCACAATCTTGGGATAGTTCTGTAGTACAAGAAGCCTGTTCACCTGTGCTTTTCCCAATTTCCCATTCTCAAGCCCACAGAGGCCTTTCTCATCTCTCCCATGCTCCGCGACTTACTTCCATGAACTCCAAAGAGGGCAATGAAAAAATGCTACAGAGATTTCAGCAGAGAAATAACATCGCTGGGTTTGCATTTTAGGAAATTACTCTGGGGGCAGGGGAGCAGGAAAAGGAATGAGGTTTGTGGCACATGCTCAGCAATATAGGTCAGCAGGCAAATTAGACAGAAGTGCTGTGACGTTCTTAAGGCTAGCCTCCTGACACCAAAACACCCTTCCAATGTATGTTTGTTTATAAGCTGCACCCCCGGCTGCAGGGCTAGCCTTGGGAGTCACGCAAGTCCCTCCTCTGGACTAGCAGTAGTCACACAGCCAATGTCTGCACGAGGAGCAGATTATTTCATTTTTATTTCTGATAAGAACAGCTTTTTCAACATATGACTATAAAATCTTTTTTTAATCCAGCCAGAATATAAAATATCCCTTTTATATAATATATACAATATCCCTCAAATTACAAACTCAAAATGCCCAAGTGAACACAGTAAAAAAAAAAAAAAAAATCTCCCAAGATACTTTTTGGATTTGGTACTTGTTAACAAAATTGAGCGTCCTGTTTCTAAATGATTTCTTGAAATCTTGAAGATAGTCACTCAGTATGCCAGACACAGCAAAGATGTGGTGGTTTCAAAACAGAGCAGGCCCCTGAATACAGCCCTGAATCAGCAGAAAGACAGGCAGGGTCCTAGCTCTGGCTCTACAGACATCTTGGGAACATCCTTAACCCGCTAATCCAAAGATTCCTTGTTTACATAACAAAAATGGGTTGTTGTCAAAATTAGCATAACATATAGAAAGCATAAGATACACAAAAAGTGTTCAAAGAAATAAAAATTATTCCTCCCTGTCCCCATCACTTTATCGACGAAAAGAGCTAGAGGCCTTTTCATATTAATTTTAGAATCAGCTTGTCAATTTCCCCTGCTAGAATTCTGACTGGCGTCGGGGTAGATCTTGAGATCAATTCAGGGAGGAATGACATTTAACAATATAGTCTTCCAACCCACATACATCATATATTCCTCATTTAGGTCTTTTTAATCTTTTAAGCATTTTGTAGTTGTCAGTATAGAGTCTTGTAAATCTTTATTAAACTTGTCCCTGAATACATGTGGCAATGCTCAATTATAATATCATCTTGCACTAGGGATCATACTAGACTCCTCACGATGGTGGCTTGCACAGCCCTAATCAAGGGAAAGTTAAGAGTGGCTATGGGAGCTTGTGCTCACACTATTACAACTGCGGGGGCGGAGTGGGGGGAGGGCGAGTGTCAGGTGGGATGTGAACTTCCAGACTATTCCACTTCCCTCCTGACATCACGACCACCTAAGGCATTTTCTGTCCTCCTGCTCCAATTACCACTTTCGCTAAAAGGAGACATCACAAGGATGAGGGGACATGGTGCAGACATCAATGGGCCCAACTGCTGCTGTGGGAACACACCCTGGGCCCTCAGCACCCACACTCTTTCTGCGCCTTGGCAGGGGCACGCTCCCACGAGCAATCCTTCAGTCCTGTTTCAATCTCTCAGGCTTCCTCACAGTTCCTTGTCTCCCAAGGCTGCTGCTTCCTTGTTTCTGAGTAAAACTGTATCATCGCTTAGTGACTTTTTAGAAATATTTTCTACCACTTGTAGGATTTTTGCTTTTATGTTTTTTCCAAACATACTTATAATTCTAGATCAAATATTACTTTAACTAGCTGATTAGGAAGAAAATGAATAAATATACAAGCATAAACTAGAAAAGGTAAGACCTGGATAAGAGAGAAATGGAAAGGGCACCCTGACATGATTCACAGCACCCACCAAGTAACAGAGGCAGGAATGAGCCCCACAGGACTGCACTCCAGGAGACAGGAGGAACGACAGGCGACAGAGAGTGGAGGGGAGGATGGGGGATGAACCCCCACACCTCAATGAGAGAAGCGGCAAAACAAAACACTCTTATCAAAAATAAACATCCCAATTCGCCTCTATATTTGCATGCCCAGGAGGAGGAGTTTAGTTCATTAACTCATTAAAGGTGGTCAATGTTACGGCACCAGGACTTCGAATGCAATGTTTTCTACACAGAAACCCCCAGGGAAGAATGTATACTCACCCAGCCCAGAGATGTTTATTGCTTTCACAGATTTCTTCATTTTGTAAAGAACCATCCGGTCCACATCCAAAGCCTAAAATATAGAGAATATATTCATTAAAATGTTTTCACTTAGACCACAACTACCAGAGAGTGGCCACGTGAGGCCTTGGCTCAGCCAGGCCCCTCAGGGGCGGTTTCTGTGGGACAAATCCTCAGCATGGTGTGGAAGACTGCTTTTCAACTTGCATGGAGCAGAAGCTTTGTTGGCAATTACTAAAACCGGCTCCTCCTCACAAGCCTCATTCACTTGAAGCAGTGAGCGGCCTCCTGCCCCCAGCGCCTGCTGGACAACAGCCCTCCGCTGTGAAGTGAGTTAACCTGAACAAACACGCTTCTACCACATCTCATTCTCCCTGCATACCAGCAAGGCTCCAGGACGTGCCCTTGGTGCTCCTTCCCATACCAAAGGAATGGCAAGGTGGGAGACACAGAGTGCCCCACCCCGCAGAGTGCCTGGACAAGCAGGCTCCAAGAGACGGCCACCTTGCAGGACCAGACCTGCCCAGCCACAGGCAGCGTGGTCTAGCGGGAGGCAAACTCACTCTGGATTTGGAAAGACCCAACATCTATTTGTTTGTTAGCTGTGTTAGAAGGCATGTTCCTAATTCTTTCCAAGCCTCAGATTTCTCTTCCAGAAACTGGCGGTAACAATACCAACACTGCAGGATTGAATTAAATAGACACACTTATGTACTTACCATTCAGCAAATATTTATAGACCAACTACTACGTAATAGTAGCATGTGGCACTTAAAATGCCTAGCACATAGTAGGTGCTCCAACAATATTTATTCAATGACTAATCACATCTAGAGATTTAATCGTACCTCTGCTTTCACAAACGATACAAAGGTAAAATTTTCTTTTAACCCAATTAAACAACATAGAAGCACAAAGGGTGTCATCTTTTAGTTGTGATGGGAGGGAGAGAACATTTGTAAAATGGGACAATGACACCAATCCCAGGCTTCCTGTAAAGACTAAATGAAGCACCCAGCCTCATAGTTGGCACGTAGGGGACGCCTGACAGTAGTAGTTTTACTACCCGTTGTGAGTTTTGATCATGAACACTGCAACAGAGAAGAGAATGAAACAGAGCAGAGAATGGAGTAAATGGAGTCTGGACTTGAGCATTCTTTAATCACCTCTTGAATCTGTTTTCAACAGCAATATCATAAATCCTAGTTCTAAGGTCACAATGACAATTTTATTGGATGCCAAAAACAAATGTCACTAGTGCTGACGATTTTAAAAGGAAACATGATCACAAGGCACCAGACACTTGACAGAGTGGTTACGATACAGAGAGAAGTTACAATGATGCTGTTACACATTTGTCCAAACCCACAGGATGTACAGGACCAAGAGGAGCCCTAACGTGAAGTACGGGTTTGGGTGAGAATGATGTGTCACTGTAGGTCCACTGGGCGTAAGGAGTGTCCCACTCTGGTGGGGGACATTAACAATGGGGGATGTGGTGCTGGGGGGACAGGGGCTCAGAGGATATATGGAAAATTTCTGTATTTAATTTTGTTTAATTTTGCTGTGAACCTAAAACTAAAAAAGTCTGTTTTTAAAAGGCATTATTTTCTGCCATACTGTAGAAGAGAGAGGATAAGGACTTATACAAGACAGTCAAAATCTCTTACGTAGAGTTAACTTCTATTTCCCTAAGTGGTTCTCTCTAATCCATTCCTAACCTTCCTTTGAGATATAAAAGAGGATTTGGAACAGTAAACAGCCCATGGACATAACTACTTAACGCTCTCTCAAAGTCTCATTGCTCTTCCTCCCCATCTGCCAGCAAACAACATCCTGCAACTCTGGTAGTGACCTCCAGGCCCCTGCCCGGCTCTGCCAGCGCCAGCAGGCGGACTGAGGGTGCACTCAGGGCTGTGACAGAGAGCACAGCTCGCGCACAGAAGATACAAGTTCAACGTGCTCATCGAGTTCCCAATCCCAGGAGAGGGGCCGTTACAGAAAAACATACTTGATCTAAGAAACATCGGGCCTCGCACTATGACAGAGCTCGGTCCTGCCCAGTCTATGCAGTTGCCTAGAACAGGATCAGACCTGCATTCAAATGATAACAGCCATTCCTCTCTCTAAACCTTCCCACACACAGCAGAAGATACTGGTGGACAGCAGTCACTGGGCTCTCTGGGAGCACCGTACATCAGCCAACATTCCTATTCAGCACTTCCCATGTGCCAGGAGGTGTAAAGGGAGGAAACCTCACGCATGAAGAGGAAAAACACACAACGAAGGTTCGAGGGGCATCTCCCAGCCCGGTCACTGTAAGGCTTCCTGATGTCCTCAGAACAACAAGCTTTAAAAACCCAACACTCCGAGCCCTACTTGCTACTCCAGCATCACCTCCCAACATTCTCCCACTTTCACCTGTGCCCTGGGCCTGTCATAATGAACTACCTGCTGCTCCCCTCGCTCTGCCGTCCACTCCTCTACACCCCAGCATCTGTGCACTCTCTTCTCTCCCTAAAACATCCTCCCGGCCTCCTCTCAGCCCCAAACTCCTCCCTTTGCAAATTGGTTCAGAGGCCCCCACTGCTCCCCCAGTATGGGCTAGGTACTCATCAGAGGTTTTCCTGCAGCACCCAGCTAGTGTTTCATCTGATAAAATTTACTGCACACCTACTACGTGCCAAGTACTAAGCCCGATACAATGGTAAGATAGGACACTGCCCATGCCTTCCTGGAGTTTACAGTCTAGCCAAAGATAATCCTCTGCACAAATACAAAGGACTCGGCTTCTACAGTGAACTGCTGTTTTCACTTGATGGGCTCTGCTCTAGACCTGTGCTACCCAGTCTCATAGTTACCAGCCACATGTGTCTGCTGAGCACCTGAAATGTGGCCAGTGCCACATGTTAAAACAATAATATTTTGGACATCTTAGGTCACATAAAATATTAATAAAATTGATCTTACTGCTTTTCTTTCACTTTTTTTAATGCTCTACTCTAAGGTAATCATATCTTCCATGCCTACCAGAGAGGCTGCCATAGAACTGACTCAAAAACAGCTCAGTAAATGACTGAGATCAAAAGACAGGCAGGGGCTCAAAGGCCAGGCAATGGTGCTTCCCAGAAGGGAGAGCTGTACTTGAAGGTTGCTCAGGCCACCGAGAGGGTAATGGATCAGGGCAGCCGGGAAGCGGATTCCAGGAGAGGATACCCCAGGATGAGGGAACTGGCTGGAACTCAGAGTTCAAAACCATCTGGGCTCAGCGCTGGGCAGCAGCCATTCTGGAAAGTTAGCCAGGGGGATCTATTCTGCCTCTCTCAACCTGACTCCACTCTCTTGCCTCTGATACTCCCGAAGAGGACAAATCTTGTGTTTGCAGGAGTGTGGCTCAATCACGCTGAGAACCGTGGCTATTGGAGGGGTGGTAAGCGTCAGCGCAGAGGACTGACCACAGGTGACACACACTTTATCACACAGTCGAACTCTGACAAATTTCCTCTCACATTCCGTCGTGAGGCACGCCCCTCCCCAATCGTTCACTGCATGAAAGTCTTGTAAAACCACACCACCTTATGGAATCTTCTACCTTGGTTATTAAAGGGGAAGTAGTGTTTCTGAAAGCAGGGGTGAGTGGGTAAACACTAACTGCTGCTTTTCCACAGTGTTAAGTAGAGGTTGGAAATAAAGGCAGAGGTAATTTTTAATTAAAATTGCGTGAAGAAAAAGTAATTACCTCCCCACTCAAAAACACGCCCTTCATTGTGATGCATATTTATAGATAATTAAGATTAAACTTGGTCAGGGAGAGAAGTCAGAATGATTGTTTTAGACTGAGTACTAGAAAAAGCCTTGTGTCATTTACATATAAACACAGCACTGGAATCTCAAAGCAACAAAAATAACAAAACCTGAGAGTCTCCAGAAAACAAAGGTGTCCGCCCATCAGGCCGGGATTTCCAAGCAGGTGAGGCACTGGCCTACGGCCCTCTCCACCACCACCCCCCCAAAAATCCACTGAAGCTCCAGAGAAGGGAAAAAAAGCTGCAACTTTTACCAGAACTTACGTGTAAAAACTACAAACACAGGCAGAAAACCAAACAGACCATAAAGACCTAAGCAGGAACCGTGCAACAGCTCAAGTCCGGCCACACTGACTCCGAGGAGCTGGGCGGAAGCTGACCTTTAGCGCGTGAAACAGGCTTCACAGAGTAAATCTGTCACATAAACAAGGCCGTGGGGATGTGTCCCAAATATTTCTGAGGAAAATAAACGATTTTCAACCACTTTAAAAGTATCTCTTCAGAGTCCCCAAACTGTTCTATGAACAACAGCCACTGGGTCCTCTTTAGTCACCAAACCAGCTCTCTGCAGAATCGGCTGCTTGTGTGCTGACCTCTGCATGACCCCCAAGGCTGTTCCTCGGCCACCAAACTCACCCAGGAGCCTCTTGCCCTCTTCCCCCATGGGCCTGGCATAC